CGCCGTCGCAGCACGCGTCGAACGAACGGACGGACGTACGGACGGATGAATCGTTGAGGTGAGAGGGAATCAAAGTGCCTCCTTCAAATTCTGCAGAATTTCTGCAGACAGTGTATTTCATTTCACGACATAACCTTGTTTGAATGCGCTTTTTTTGAATTTTTTTGTTATTTTCTTGAGTACAAGACGTGTGTAGAAGGCGCAGCGTTTCTGGGCACACGTTAACAAAGCTGAACATAATCTGTTGTAACGACGCTCAACGCGCGACGGAATTATTTTGAGGACGTCCGCTCCACCACGGACGGCTTTTGCGCTGGAGCGCATTGTTTTCCAAGCGATGAGCAGATCTGAACGGCACGTATATTGTCAACAGAAGTCCGCTACCTACTCATCCAGCTTTGTCAATAGACGATATCCAACGGTGTCAACGTGTGTCCAGCAACGGTGAGTTTTCAATTACATCTGAAGTTGGTTTCTGAGCAGTTTATCGTTTTTTGCAAGCTCTTGTGTGAGATTAGGTTTGAAGCCACATTCGGTGCATGACAGAACACACTTTCTGACCTGTTCCCTCCACTAAACCTTGAGTTGTTTCGAACTAGAATTTCTCACGAAACGAAGTGAAATACTAACATTTCTCCCTTACAACGGACCGTAGGTATATCTTCAGAGTGGGAAAAGGAGGATCTTCCCAAAAAAANAAAAAAATGTTTGCGAGAAGCATGAATGTACATAAGGCTTTTTTCCATTGCTCCCTCGATAATTACATGACGTTGGCCTCTGCGAGCTTATCTAAGCGAGAGCTCAAGGAAAACGACTCGCATTCACTTCCACTGAAATGGAAACTTTCCTGGCCAGGACTGTCGCCTAAATCTACGCCCTTTGTTTGAATCTAGTTCGTTGCGGGACCCACGCCATCACCCCTTAGCTGTAACTTCATTTTAGCGCTTCGTTTGAATGGCTATAGGTGGCTCGTTTGAACTCAGCGTTGTAGAGACATACTGATGCCTACCTTTCGCCTTTTCTTGTTCTTCATTGCTGTAGCGTAACAAAGCGTAACGAAAGGAAAGGGTAAAGTGAGCTGAGCGTAACATGAAGAAAAAAAAACAAATATTAGAGTGAGGTTCCGGAAAGCTATTTGAAAAAAAAACTCCAAAATTTCAAGTGGTCGGTAGGAGTAGTGGGTCATGTTACAACAACAAACACAACGAAAACCAAGTTTCGGTCCTTCCGTATTGTCACGTTATGGGAATTATGAGTTATCGGCGTGAAGTACGTTTCGTACTGGATCTATAACAAATCTAGAAGGTCCTAAGTGACTTGTTTGGCATTGTTCACAGAAGCAGAAAGGTCAGTTTTGGCTGTCATACTTCTCCCCGACTGATTCAGATAGTTTAGACTAGATTAGATTAGATTAGTAGTATGTAACAGAACATTTGCTTGTCCTAGGAGCTTAAATATCATTCAATCAATCTCCTACGTACAGTCCTTGCACGCTGCGGCTACATATAAGTACCCTAAAGAGCTGTCATGGTGCTTAAAATATAATGACTCAAATGATTAATTGTGTGCAGCTATCTCTTTTTGTAGTTGCCTTTACAGCAAACCCTTAACACACAAGAGTGGTTTAGTACGTACAGTGGCAAGGTTATACAATTTCCCTGAGTTATGCCCTACTGCTAATTCTCCGAACCCCAATAACCTAATCGTAAGCGCCACAAGGAAAAGATAGTAAAGGGTCATGGCGTGGGTCCCGCAACGAGATAAATCAAGCCGTGGGCAGCTTGCCAAAAAACTCACCCTGCATTTTTTCAGGGTGTACGTTTAGGCGACAGTCTCACCAGGGAGGGAAATAAATTCATTCCTAGAATTGAGCTGGCGCGCCGACCACTGCATGTACTCGTTATTCACTTCAATGCTTGTTTTTTGGTCTTTATTCCCATACTCTCTGCCGACAGATTCGTCGATTAGCATTCCGCTTTTTTTNTTTTTTTCTCTAATACTGCTTCCAGCTACCAAACAGGAAAAGTTCAGTACGGCTCTCGGCTCTTACAGTAATCCGGCACGGCACAACTTAATACGGAATTTCTCACCCGTCCTATACACGACACGTCGAAAGGGCCTTAATGAAGGACACTTCAGTGTGTGGTGGGGAGCTAGTGGGTTACTGTAACAGCCGAGTGTTGGTGCTGAATTTTCGTTTCTGCAGCTACCAAAGGATTCACATCACTGTAATCGTTACAAGCAGGTTGTTCCTTCTCGATTTACACCAGTTATCGTGAACATGAGTATCACGATTCTGATGTGATTTATGATAGAAACCCTAGTCGTTCCTGTCAACGGCTAGCAAATTTTTTGACTTTTGACTTATTCCTACTACCCTACTAATATAATTCGCTAGATGTGTCTGTGTTGGTTTGTCGGTGCGTTAGTTTGTTATTGTGTATGGTGTGGTGTGGGGTGTGATGTGTGTGGTGTGTGTATGCGTTGATGTGTGTATGTGGGTGTATGTGTATATGTGTTTGTGTGTATGTGTGTCGGTGTATGTGTTTAATCGGGAATTCATACGCCCGTTCCCATTAACCTAGAGCATTCAAACTTGGTAGGAGTGCAGGCGGCAGGATGGGAATACTCATAGCAGATAGCAGGACCAAACTCCGCCTACCGGGGGCGGGGCGTGCGTGATATAGGTTTTCGACCGCAAATTCGTAACTCTTGTTGCCGTCGATCTAGAGTGTTCAGATTTGGTAGGAGCCCTGGCGGCAGGATGGGAACATTGTAGATAAGTTGTAGAGGTGATTAAAGTGGAGTCTTGGCGCTTTTATGAAGGATGTGGATTAAGAGGGGACCGTAGATGTTCACTGATAAGGGTTGATAACAACTGTTAGAGGCTGACAAGGAGCCATGTTTACACCGTTTTTCATATTAACAGGGGAGCACTTTAGTAGGCGGTTTGGAATGTGAAGGGACCGATGGTGATTGGTAACAAGGACTGATAACAAGCGGGCAAGGGCTGACGAAGAGCCTAGAAGGCTAGAACCGCTGGGTTTGTAATCCGCTTTATCAATTATTGAAATGTTTCATTCAATAAGACAGAGAGAGTTAGAGCAGTAATAAGGACCCATCAGCCGCACTACGGTAGGCAGATGAGAATTTTGTTCATTCCTTGTTATTAGATTACGACCGCTACCCAGCAAGGTTTGTGACCTAATGAAGAACTCTCTTTGTTCGATATCATGTGCGACAAAACTTTACCAGCCGCCAGTAATCTAGAATCATCAACTAATGATATTTCCCTAAAGAAAAGTCCATTGATACGACATGTGATAATGGTGTTATCATCACTCGACAACATTTGTGAGTACCGTTCATGGCTTTGGTTGTCTAACAGTCAAATCCTTAATGGGTGATTATTTTGAAGATAACGAGCAGCAGATTGAGACAGCAAATCAAAGGCATAATGTCCCGTGTCCAATTCGTGTTCGGAAAAGTACCATTCATTCCGAAAAAGGAGTGATCGATTAGCCGATTATGACAACTCTGACATAAGAAGGAGAGAAGCCGGCGTAGCTGGGCTATCCTACCCTTTTGTTCTTTGTGCAACTGGTTATTCCATGACATGATAGGTGCTGGCGACATGACGACGTCCTACGCCGTATCCTTTAACCAGTTTTTCTTTTGCTTTGCACTTGACTCTCAAAATGAACCTGAGTTTAGGGCCTCTAACGGGAGACAAAACAGTCACTTCCCTCAATATTTAACAAATACTCGGTGGGAGTGACGCAGTAGTCTGTGTTTTTATCTTCACGCCCAGCCTTGTACTAAGAGCTTTTCAAAAAATAACAAAAACGCAGCACAACGCACACAACCTTCGATATGCTTGTGATAAAACCTCAAATATATTAATTTGGTGTTGCATGTTAATTTCCGCAGTGTTCGTCATAGGTATTGCTTTGATCCATTTCGTAACGTCTTTCATAGGACCGAAGAAGAAGTCGTTAAGTGGAATGACTATGTACTTCAACTTTGCATACCGTAAAGATGTACCCGTCAAAACTGTAGCGCTTCACATTTGTAGTGATAAATTGATTTACACACCTCCGAGCAAGCTTGTTTGATGGTATCGGTATCGAAAGGACGACCATGAATCTACAATAAGATGTATCCTGTTGAGCATGTCTACTCTCAAAAAAGCAAGTCTGAATCCAATCGACCATGAGCTCCTTAGTCACAGTGTGGGTTGTGGCCGCTCTAGGCACTAGATTTGGAGCTTTGGAATTTTTCAAGTCTGATGAAATGCTCTTGGTGCAGGGCAGGGTATGTTGTCGAAAATCCATACTCATGTGTCCCTTTGGCAAGTATTTAATCTTGAGTGGAATAACTTTTCTCTCTCCGGTTGTAGAGGAGTAGCATATATAAGATGTGTGGTTTGCGAACAATATGTGTGCTGCATACATTTTCAGCTCTTTCCATTAATGCTGAATTCCTCACAGGCAACTTACACATCTGTGGCACCTTTCCGTTGAATGATTCTTGAAGTTAAAAGTAAAGCAGAATCACACAGTTAAGGTGCAGAACCATTATTTCTTGAATATCTGCGAGATGCGCAAATGAAAACAGAAATAAGGCGTTTACACAAACAAACGTCAGAGGTTTTAAAGCCTCTAATAAAGCGGAAGAAAATTGTGCAAAAGTATCGACGATGGCGGGATCGCATCTAGGATTATAGGTGCGTATCACGTGCGCAGCTCTTGGCCCATTGCCGAAAGTGGTAGGTACTCCTCGATAAAACTTACTCTTTTCACTACTGTTTGTTTCAATGATGCATGTGTAACACTTCGTTCTGAGTTCCAAGCGTTTTACTGTTATTCCTTAATGTTTTGTTGAAGGTGCTATGAGGTCGACTCGCTTACGCGTTTGTTTATATTCCAAGCTTTTCACCCTGATAGACACCTTCAGCACTCAAACGTCCTTTCGGTACGTGATTGCTCTACTTCCTTTTACCCGATGCCGTGAAAAAGTATGAAGTGAATTTTTTGACAAGTTTCCAACAGTTGAGTAGACCATAAACATGTTTTTTTTTNTTTTTTTTTCAACAAAAACAGTATGTTTAGATCTTTTGAGATCATGTCAGAACAGAGCTGCGCACGCGACTCACACTTGAAAGTCACCTTTATTTTTAGATGCGCTCCGATGGTGGGGAGCAAACCCACATCTCCTGCCTGTGAACTGAGACCACTATCACTACGTCACGTCGACGCTTGATATCGAACTACGAGTTCGCATTTTCGATTGACACTACTGTCAAGCAAATTTCGAACCTCCATGACCAGTTTAGGAAAGCCATTTTGCAGTTGTAGTTTCCATATCCGTGAACACATTCGAAACTATCTATTCTTCCTAGTCTCCATTCAAAGTTCCATGATAAATAGACTACTTCTCTCTGGTCAGAGGAAAAATGTCTTTGAACACGAATTTCCTTGTCATTGGTCGCTGGAAATGAGTGAGACGCTGCGATGCAACGAACTTGGGGAGAAGTACATTCACAATGTATTGGAGTGCTGGTGACGAGAAAATCCTTGGAAAGATAGAGCACTGTAGAATATCGAGTGCGATACTTGATGAAGATGCAAACAATCATTGTATGTTTAGGATCCATGAGTCAAAGTTTCTATTGCCAAGGCTTGTAGTGTAGAAGTGTAAACGTTGAAGAGTGGAGGCACTGGGCATGTCGAAAAAGTACTCACAGGTGGGTCCATGCTCATATATCCCTTACTTACGTTCCCTCAACGCGCTTGATTTTCGCAAGGTCCTATGAAAAGTATAAATGGTTGCGCTGGGTGCCGGCGGCACGGCACAGACGGATTTGAAAGTCTTGTGGGTCTTTACACAGTAATCCAAAGACACACTAATTACACCTCTAAACACCCGACACATATACGACGCAACAAAAAGGTACCCTGAGTGAGGCCCACAGAGTGGGAGATGCGACATTTGCGATGGGTTACTGTATTACACCTTCATGGGGCGATGAGATCTGACTTTTCGTGACGACCGTATTCTTATCAGCAACCTTACCCTTAATCTTAACACCTACAATCACCTACACTTTAACATCAACAACCTACCCTTAACCTTAGGATGCCCTTAGTATCAATCATCTTCGTCGTTCTTTAAAGCGAATATTCTGCTTCACTCCATATTTCACATATCACATGTGCCGAATATCAAAACTTTGGTGATGTACGAGTTTTATTTGTTCGAAGCGTTAAACAGTCAGGGATAACCTCCTGCGCTTCAAGCGCAGTTGTAAAACTCTGTTGGGGTATTCCTCCACACCCCATCCTGGCGTAGCATACGGCCCAATGTGATTCCTTCCATTGCAGAGCTCGAGAAATGGATAACTGCTCGTATGACGAAGACGAGGAAGCACCAATTCATGCTCTCCCTTACGAAGTTATGCGTGATTTAAGCAGAATACTTGATGGAGGCGACGCATGGGTTGAATTAGGTTTGACGTTTCACTCATTACATTATTACAGTTACTCGAAGATTTTCCTTCAATCGGAAAAGCATTGCAATCCTCCAGAAGTATTTGTAAAGGCTGCGAGCGACTCTTTCCCAGCAGCAAACTAGTGTCGTGCCGTAACTATTTAGTTTTTTCGCGCAGTTCCAGGCAACTTGTTTGTTGGGGACGTACGCTCTTCAACATGGTATTTATGCTTTCACTCAGTTTTTGTGATAGGCTTTCGCAGCAGAATTAGTTTTGTTAGTGCAGTTGATGGAAAACAATTTTTCCAAATGTTAGTAAAACTTTCTACCCGCTTCCTGTCACAGGTCATAATGAAGTATCGGGTTGCTCAGCTATAAAAAGAAATCCCTGAGGAAATCTATTATAATAGAAGGATGGGCGCGTTTAGTTGATTTATGGTTATCCTACTATATCTGGTCGGCTAATGGTGTCTGCTGGTTTGTCTGTGTATATGTGTAGTTGTGTGTGTATGTATGTGTTTCTTTTAACACATTCATTACTCATGTTCCCAAGGACTTGAAGAGTTCAAAATTGGAAAGAATAGAATACGGTCGGCAAGACGCCTGTAGTAAGTGGCAAGACTAGACTCCGCGGGGTTTGCGCGAAAGTTGTCAATTTGGACCTAGACCGTTCAAATTTGGTAGGAATGCAGGCGGCAAGATGGGCGCACTGTGGTGAGCGGCAGGGCTAGATCAAAAAAGCCGTTATCAAAATGGCAAAAAGCCGTTATCAAAAATGCTTCAGAGCGCTTTCTCAGTAAACGTAGAGCGACTGAGTCATGTTTCAATGCAAGCGCTGGCCTCTCGGAAGGAAATCGGGAAAACTACGTCACACTGCCTGGAACTGCGCGAAAAACTTGTTCGTTACAGAGTCATAAACGACTATCGGGAGTTCGCTGGAAGCAAGGCACGAGAGGCTGCTAAGGATCAAACGAGCATCGAAAGAACTTTGCCAAACTTGTTGGCCTTTTCTCAAAAATTGTTTTTCAAGAACTCATAGTGCGGATACATGCTATGTCTTTCACGGTTAACAGTGCCGCACTTCAAAGAAAAAAAANAAAAAAAATGGGAATACTCAGATCGGATGTTTTACAAGCACATCGGCAGTCAAGAAGTGTTATAACGCCAAGACCACATCAAATTCGCTTCTATTTTTATCTCGGTAGTACTCGAGATATTCTCACTCGTTATCCCTAATCGGATTTGTTGGACACTCTCCTTAAACACCTGCAAAGAACAAAGTGGTTCCGCGAAGGGATTCCCACCATCGATCAGATCCATGCGGTTTGGTTTGTGTAATAAGTCCAGATGACCAGAGCTTGCTATATTTTCTCTTCATCGACATCAAGAAAGCTTTTGACACGGGTCGAAAATCAGGCACTTCTAAACGCCCTTACCATGCTCTTGAAATTTCTTCCAATGTCTTGAGCAGTGCATCTCGCTCCACCAAGCTGGTAGTTCATCATGGGAAAACTAAATGGATGAAGAAAAAGTTTGCAACCAAAATTGAAAAAGTCTCTGGGTACTTGTAACTCGGCCGGTCGTTCACAGTGGACAATTATTTCACTACCAAAATTGACCGAAGCAAAAGGCAGATTTGGTCGTATTCAATTAGTATCGTGACGCTCTAGTCGATAAACGTGGAGTAAACAATAAGTACAAAGAGACTGGTAAGCAATATATGGAGCATCGCTGATGCAGAAAATTTCGGCTAGTGAAAATCAAGGCGGACCGGTGTCAAAGATTGAAACAATCTCGTAGGAACTAAGGCCTGGGCATATCGTTCCTCTTAGTGACAACAGGTGGACACTTCATGTGAACGATCGGTATCCCCGCGAAGCGAAAAGATTACGAAGAGGACACCCAAGCCAGTTGGAGTGATCCTTTAAGCAGCTATTTGGATAGGGATGGCGACAAACGGCAAAAATCGAACCGAATTCTACAGGTGCGTCCTGCAATGATGTGACAACTACCACCCTTGAAGAGCAGACTTCAGGATACCCACCTTTATCTGCTTAGCCTTGGCATGAGGGTGGGCTAACTCCTAGCAGCTAGAATTCTCATTTGTTGAAGGCTATCTTTTCTTTCTAACTACTCGAATGGATGCTTTTAGCGGAATCGAATGCAAAGCAATAATTGCACTCGCGAGTTCGCACACACATGCATGGGTACGCTCGTGAGAAGACGGAAGGTATGAGCCGACCCGCACTGCGGAAACTGGGAGTCCTTAATTCCGTCTCTGGGGATGTGCCGGTTGTTTTTGATCCGCGATTCACCCAAATCCCTTAGGCGTCGCGCAACGTATCGATCCATCAAAGGGAAAGAACCCTCATTGAAGGAGTACGTAAACAACTTCGAATTCTGGATAATGGAGCACCTGCTCGGAAGGACAGGGTAATTCTGCGTAGGCGTAAAGCTAATCTTTCATAACCCGTCAAGTTCAATGATTGGTCGCTCAGCTCTTCAGATCTAATCGCTCGATTACTCCGCCCGATCATTGTTGGAGTCCAGGGCTCACAAACGAGCAGACAGAAAACTGAGTTTCTGGTGGTTCTTGAATGGACGTGTGTTGAGTTTCAAATTTTCTTCAACGATACTGCGGAAACCGTCATAAAGTCATCTGCACCTGGATCGACAGGCGAAAAAGGATATCTGGCAGCAATTGCTAGGTTGCTGTTTCCCCTTCTATTTAGTAATTAATTCGGTAATGACGTACAGTAATTCCGTTCATCCTGCAGGCCTCTGACCATATCCTCTATGGGAGCGATGCATCAGACCCCTAATTAATTTTTCTTCTTGCTGTCAGGATTATGGCAGTGAGGGTTGTGATTAAGCAAGGAGCTACAAGAAATTCTGCAGCAAACATGCGTTCATTGTCAAGTAATACAAGCATTAAGTTTCTTTTCGAGTTACACATCCACTACCGCCTTGTGGGTATGGAAGTTTGTTCCACTTCTTAACTTTGAATAACATTCTGAGTTTTATTTTTTAAAATCAATTGTTTCAGCGGCTAAAATGCCAGATATTACGGTACAAGATGTTGACGGTTGCCGTCAGTTTTCTTCGACTCATCGTGGAAGTCCGTCAGAGTATCTATTGAGGATTTGGGCAAGCAAAGGCTATTCAATTTTGAGCCTCTATAATCTACTCGCAATCACACGGATGGTGCGTTGTATGCGAACGATGCGCCATTTAAGTGAGTAGTGTTTACTACATTGTCTTATTGTACCCATAGATAAGGTATCTTGAACATTCGATGTCATACTTAACTTTACCAGTACGCACTCACTATTATTGTTGATGATAGTAAGTGACTCTTTCTTGAGTACCTAAGATGTACTTAAACATCTCGCTTCTGCAGTACAATCATTAAATATGGTGACGAAGACCTCCGCAAACGTCACATTATGTCATATCCAATTCATCATCATTCCAATCATCAATTCTCAACTGATCATCACAGAAAAATCAGGGGGTCTCGGTAGTTGATAAAGCGCACGGTGCTGGGAAAACATAAGTGCGGGTTCAAGTCCCGCACGAAATCGAATGCCTACAAATCGCTAACCTTTGGAGGCCATTATAAGTAGTAAATATGATCCTTCGGTTTTCGGGAAGTAAATATATGCACTGCGTTTCATAAATATAGGGCCACCCTAAATTTTTGCAGTTCCAAGCTTGCAGCGCACTCTTGGAAAATGCTGCCATAACCAATAGATTCCTCATAACGGGAAACCTTGGTCCAGATTTTTTGAAGAAATTTCACTTCGGAATTGTTGGAATGATTTCCTTGGAAGATATTCTCACCTTTTCATGATTATGACTACACATTCTTTAACGAAAAAATTTATTACAACAGAGTGGATTTTACCTCTCAATAATGGGTTGGTCCTCCATTGTTCGCAAGGACTTCACCAATGCGTCATGACATGCTCTCAACCAAGCTAGCTATCAAACTGGGATCCAAATTTGCCCAAGCGTCGAGGATGGACTGTTTGAGCTCTTCGGCTGTGTTGTGCTGTTTTGCTTCATCAAAGATCTTCTTGACAATGAAGGCTCAGACATTCCCCATTGGATACAAGTCTGGAGAACATGCAGGCCACTCGAGAACTGTGATATTTCTACTTGCGATCCAATCCGAAGTGGAACAAATTATATGGACAGCCGCGTTATCGTGCATAAAAGCAATGAACGACGACGGTATTGACGAAGAATTGGTAAAAGTCGCTCCTCCAGCACTCTCTGGTATTCTACGGAATCCATACGACAATAAACAAAAGCAAGTCCAAGCTGTCCAGCCGCACAAAAGGCGCCCCAAACCATGAGAGATCCTCCACCGAAATTACGTCGCTCCAAAACCAAGGGTGCTTTGCGCAGATCCCTCCAATACTCTCTTCTACTGTCAGGTCCGTCCAGATTGAACATCTTTTCGTCGCTCCAGATTACCTAAAATGTAAAATAAAGATATGGAGTCAAGGGCTGCAAAGTGTCGTAACAGCCGCAGCTTCGTCCAATCAAATGAGGAATTTTTTCCAGTGAATTGGAGGCGTGAGACTTTGTGTCGCATCGATAGTCTGGGAACCGCCTCATCAACTCTCTGGTGATGCTTTGGTTCCGCTGGGTTACCCTCCAGACAGTGGTTTTGCTCACACGAAGCCGCATTTCAGCGCGGACCATGTTCAGGCTCTTCGTTGAATTTGACAAAACATGTCCAATCGCTCTTTCATCTAGGACAGAAAGCAGCCGTCGTCAACCTGAACTATCCCTCTTCCCGTACTGATCAGGATTCCGCTGGTATTCGTTTATGCAGTTGCGTGATCGGTAGATATGGGCGGCAATTCCTACTCGACCACCCGGCTGCAGACAGTGCTCTGACTTGAACTTTTCTGGTTAGAGAGACGAGTAGCACGAGGATAGTTACACGAAACGGAGCAAGCTCCTGTATGATCCCGCATCCCGATTTCCATTTATGGAAGAAGAGGAACGGGAATTTTTTAAGAGTGGACCCGTATTCATGATACACAGAAAATTCGTTCCGAGTAAGTTATTTAGGTTACTTGAAGTAGAAAATTTCTCAGAAAAACGTTATCAAGGTTTTTCGACACAGGCAATCTACTGGTGATAGCAGCATTTTCTCAGCATGCACAACAAATATGTAATCACGAAAATTTAAGGTGGCCCTATATTTAGTATATATATATCATTACATTTGCAGCTCGTGCTCTTTCGCCTTTTTCCCTTGAAAAACTGCTTTAGTGATGCGCTACGACCTCGCTCTATCCAAAAATCTGCTTCGATTTCATATTTTCACTCAGTGAAGCAAAGAAGATAACTTAGGAGAACCGCAAAAGTTAATCATACAAGGCAATTTTGTCACAGAAAGGAGGAGAGCCTGGCGTTAGCTGGGCGAACAGACTGGCTAACGATGAGACAGTGCTTCCCATAATTGCTTTATAACCACAATGGAGAAATTCGAAAGGTAGTGCCACACGAATCCATTTCAAAAGTAAATGCTGTGATTATGCACGTTAAAGTAATTGTACGAAATTGGTTGGCGCAAAACCCTAATCGGGCATACCGACACACACAAGAAGGAGGAAAGCCCGGCTTCAGCCGGGCGGTCCGACTTTATAAAAATGAGACAATTGAATGCTCTAGAAAATGGGCTGTTTTAACTCCGCATTAGATCTACAATAATCGAAGTGTTTTGTGGCATCAAACCTACTTTATATAACGTGCTTATGTCTGTGTGTTTATAGGTGTGTGTTTGTGTCTGTGTGTGTGTCTCCGACCGGAAATTCATAACTCCTGTCCCCGTGGACCTAGAAAGTTCATACTTGGTAGGACTACTGAGGGCAGGACGGGAACTTTTATGATAGGTGGCAGGACCGAACTCCGCTCACAAGAGGCAGGGATTGCGCGGAAACTGTCAATTACAGGTGACCCACCTTGGATGTCCAAAAGAGGACGTTGGCCTTTCTTTCTGAATTGCGAATTTAGTGGGAGAGCTTCGAATGTCCTCGCCCTTAGCTTGACGCCGGTGGAAGTTGAAATCCACCGGTGGAAGTTGAAATCCACATGGGTCGAGGAAAGGGTT